ACTCAACCCCAAATGCCATCCATACACCTCTATGTCACCGCATAATGCCCAAACAGACCAACAAACTGGCGACATTTTCTTGATTTAAAGACAACTATTGAAACTATTTCAACTTTTTAAATGTTCTTTAGGCCTATTTCAAGTAACAGACATGTTAATGACCTTATATAAAGTGGAAATGCTAAAGTTCGTGTAACTGGGATTGATGTAATGAAAGGGGTATTTTAGTAAGAGAATAGACAACAGGAAAATTATATTTGTGTGCCTATCAAAATATATATCCAATGGACTGCACAATGAACGTTTGGAATAGCTTTTACAATGTTAAAATGTCAAGATCTTTCAGTTTATTAGCAGATGGTTTGTTAACTCGTTAAAATAAAAGTTTGTGTGTCCTATGCATATGGTGAGATATGCCTACATAAGCCCATACCGACACAACGAAAATAGAAAGTAACTTTTGGATGCAAGGTTTTGTTGAACAATGACAAGCTGTTACAGGAGAGCATGTAAGGTTTGCATGGTTTGGCTGCATTTATGATTAAACATACAGTAGGCATGCATAAATAATGATGAAATAAATAAAGTTCATAATACAGAGTAAAACGTTTATAAATGTAATAACCTCGAATGTGTTCGTTTGTGTTTCTCTTGCAGAATAGGCCAATCCGAGTGTTTAGTGATCGGCAGAAGTATAGGGCAAGGCCTTGTGTTTTATTCTTGTTTTATTATTTGCCTATAAGGTATTCGACTCAACTAGTCTATTCAGTACATAAATATCGTAAATTATGTTTTCTCAATCAAGAAAAAAAGGGAATCTGATAACTGTGAGGCAACACGCCTACAGATCACATGTCCAGCGTTGATATTTTTGCACATAACATATTCACTCTGCGTGTAGGAAACTTGAGGTTAGCTTAAAAAGTCAATATGAAGATGCAAGCCGTGTGTGTGTGTACATGTGTGTGTGTTTGTGTGCCTGTGATTTCATTTTCATGCACTTGGCCTATAGCTTACTTTTGATATGGTAAGGAATCTAGGACTATATGCTTACTGGCTAAAGCAGAGGAAACATGCATGATCTCAAAGCCCTGTCCCTTATGGGCTGGAAGGTAAACAACCAAGGCACTGGACACGGTTTCGCTTTCAGGTTTCATGTTTTCCATCATTTGCGCAGAGAAATGCCTCTGTTTTCAAGTGAAATCATACCGGATTTAATAATGCATGAGGGTTCTCAAGATGAAAGCACCACCAAATAAGATCATAATGCTACAATCCACAAGTCTCATATCAAACTCAGTAGGCTATTGTGTAATATTGAAGCATGTAGGCCTATGCTTCAAATAATTATTTGAAAAGTCAAGTGAAAACATTTGCCAGATATGTCGACTAGTCTACATTAGGAAATAGAAATGGGCAGGCCTATGTCTTTTTCTGTAGGCTATGCATCACATAGTCCTTACTAAAAATGTAAATGCAAAGCAAAAACTGATTTGTATGAAGTGCTAGAGCGATTTGAAACTAGTACTAAGACTGAAAATGTATTTTCAGATATAGATTAACAAGGGAGTTGTGGGCCTACTTTTCCTTCCTCACAGATCTCATGCGACCATCGAGGAACTGTTCTCCTTTAGCCGCGCTGAAACGGTCAGCATGAAATCTTGATACAATGACAATGTATAGGCTTATGATAAGAGTAAACTTTTTTTTTTAATTATGTATCTGTGCCTCAACATATCCTGATTAAACCCATCAGATCTTTCAGTCAGGTATGATATTTGATATTTTAATGTTCAACAAAAATAATACAGATTTTTTTTTTAATCCCCACGTTTATTGTTGTCATCATTATGGTTATCATTGTTGGTATTATAATGGCAATAGGCCTATGTAGCCTACAATAGGCCTATATCATAATATATTGTCTTAGATAAATGGCTAAATGTTGTATTATTGTGTGCTATTTGAGGTGAAAGTGCCATCCAGTTCGGTAGGCCTTCAAAGCAAGAGCTCTGTCTGTGAAACCAATAGGCTATGTGATTATTATGCTAATAAAATTCAGGTAAGGACAGTGTGTAGATTTAGAAAAAAATCAATGAATTAAGCATTGGAATACACGTTTTTTTTATGTGAGCAGTAGCCTTTACAAACAAAAATCATTAAAGAAGATGACAGTAGGCTGGTGTTTTAGTCGGATAGCAGCATAGGTCAAAAACAAAACAATGTCCATATGACGATATATATAGGCTATTGATATTTGCTTTTTGGCAAAGAGAGAAATAACTGGACAGCAGTCTCTTTTTGATTTCGTCGAGAATAGCCTGGTGTTGTTTTTGTATAATCTTAATCAATGTACGGATTTGACAAAAATAAACACAGTAGCCTACTGTCTTTCTGACAATTACATATATTGTTATAACGGATATGAAGCGAAGTTGAGGGCCACATACTCCCGGCCAGCGTCTGAGTGCTGAAGCTCGGGTGTCAGCATGCCTACTCGAGTTATCCAGCCACAGAAGGTGAACTTTCACCCCGACCTCCTAAAAGACCTTTTTTTTTCGTTCTGTAGCTGCTGACCATTTTACCTCCAGCTACTTGCTATCCATACACGTATCTCACCATCCAGGCTTTCTCGGCGCGGATCGATAGGGCAGCATCTGCTCCGGGAAGGCATCGGTCCCACCGCACACGGATTTTTTCAAACGCCAGAATTGCTCATCTCTGAAAATTAAACTGACAGTTAGATATGATTAGTATGCCTAGTATCAACCACCTCTCCTTCTCTCAACTCCCAAATCTCTCTATCTGACACACACACACACACACACACAGAGAGACACACACAGTGGACTCACCAAATATGTGCTGTGTTAAATGAAAAGCCAGAGCAATATCTGCTATAGGTCGAGTATCTTATGTAAAAAGGTCGCATTTAAACGAATGGCCTCATTGATCTTGTTTAGAACTACAGATTGAAGTGCGAAATCTGGTGTCAATGGGCCTGCTCAACCGTGGTTTGAGTGCTGATTAAGAGGTTCCCTAAATGAATCAGTTACAAGCGTGTCACTTGACAACGTTTATGTGTAAGCAGTTGGATTTACATTCCACTCACATCTCCAAAAAAAGAGAAAAAAAAAGCTTTAAAGCAGGAGGACATTATAATATAATTCAGATGAGCCCTATGGAGGGATACAGATTTAGGTATTCCAAAATGGGTGGTGAGAGTCTACACCATGTAGTCAATATAAATAGATGTTCAATAGTCAATAAGACAGTAATGCGATTCTTGTAATTGCATATTCATGACTAATACCATTTGTTATAATTAGTAACAGGGTAATAGTATAATAATCACACAATAATAAGAATAATAAGAAAAATAATAATACAACCTCCACTACTACTACTACTGGTACAAATAATAATAATAATAATAATAATAATAATAATAATAATAATAATAAAGGAAAATATGGACAGAAAACAATTGTTTACAGTTAAATCTGCAGTCCGGCATCAGGATAAATATAATAATAGGGTTGTGTAGCATGGATGGACACAAAAGCACAACACAGTAGGCTAGCTCAGTGAGCTACAGGAGCCTAACCGTTGCAGTCCAGGGTCAGGTGAATTAAATAGCTGAACCATGGTCAGGATGCTCGCATAATTCATAAGCTCTGCATGCTATTAGATAAAAAGGCTTAACTTTGGTGTTGTGAGAAAGGGTTCGTCTTCACCTAGTTGGTCAAACCCTGCCCCCTCCCTGGAGACGTTGGCCGAAGCGAAAGGGTTAATTGGAGTTGGAATTTCATTGCACATCTGTCAGATTTTTAAGCCTGTGACGTAGCCTACTGAAAGGAGCGAGTGTGAGCGGGGGGAGGAAGAGAAGCGAAAGAGTTGGTGGTGCTGAAATCGATGAAGTAGCAGACTGATGGAAGAGGAGGAGGAAAATCTCACGAGATAATGAAAGAAAAAGAGGAGAGCTGCTAGGTAGAGAAGAGCGAGGCTACAGTTGGACGTTTGACTTAAAAAAAGACCAAAGGACAGGGAAAGGACGTATACCTAACCGCCAATTGTTTGGCCTCTCGTTTTATTGTATGTAGCATCCCTCCGTGGATCTGACCAATTGTGTGAATCTGCGCGGACAGGCTGGAAGACCAGAGACAAGCGACACAATCGGAGAGATGCAGACCACGGACAACAGACGCGGATGCGCTCATATAACGGAATAAGGTAGGAATTATACAATTAAGAGGACACATATCTGTTTATTTTTGGTGTCATTATATCTCAAAACCACTTAAACGCTCCTAAATAGAACATATAACCACAATTCGTTGTCCGTGTTGTGTTGAGAAATATGCAAGCATGACGCACGTTAATGTCCAAAGAATCGTGTGCGCGCTCATCGAGTATTCAGAACTTTGCATGAGGCAATATGTGATTTGTAAGAGTGGATTTGCCCATGAAGACATCTCGATGTCTTTTTTTCTGTTACATATGCATCGATCGGCTCTCGTATGAAATGAAAATTTACTCTTAATGTTTGAAATGCTTGTGACTGTGGTGATAGTCTACAATAGCCTAGACGTCACTATTGCATGAGTAGGCTACAACTAAAATACAGACGAGTAAACATTTGATCTCCCGCAGGCAAAAGAGCGACGATTCTGCCGAGGAACACAGTCGAGCACCAAAGAAAGGACGAGAAGAGTGTTGTAGCACAAATCCAAATAATGTGATAGTTAATCTTACTGAAGCTGCTTCACACTCGATTTCCTGGAGTTTGAAGGAGTTTAAAGAGACTACTTATGTTGTTATCAGATAATTAATTAGACAGCATATAAGCTCATAAATCAATCCATTCAGAAATCAATAAATCCATAGTATTGTGCAACAGAAGAGGGCCATCCAGACTGTTAGGCTACTGTTAAACAACAACTAGGCTACTGAAACAACAAGATCAAGATAGAAAAAAAGATACATTCACTGAATTCAAAATGGATGGAAGCCTAGGGGAGATGTCTGTCCAAATCCACTCTGAGCTCCACAGTCAGGATGGCAGAGCGATGCTGCATTCACGGGACCTTTCAGCTGCTTTCCCCAGGCCCTCCCTTGGGGGGCACTCCATGTCCCTGGAGCCTGAGCACCGACCTCCAGGTTTCGACCACTCCATGTCAGCGTTGGGCTATGGAGGAGATGCTCCATCTAGCTGTGGCAGCACGTACACCACACTAACCCCCCTGCAGCCCTTCGATGACAAATTTCACCACCACCATCACCACCACCATCCCTGCCTGCCGGTCAGCAATGTCATCGGGAGCTTTACTCTCATGCGTGAGGACAGAGGCCTGGGTGGCAACTTCTACAACCCTTACGGCAAAGATCTGGGGATGACGCAGAGCCTTTCGCCACCTTCTACAGGCTCTGGCTTGGGGACACCCATGCACGGTTACGGGAGCCTGGGAAACAGCCCCAACGGCAATGGTGGCCAGATGCTTCCAAGTGGTTACGAGGTCCACGGGGGCAACATCTTCTGCAGGACGGCGGACTTCGGCAGGGAGATGTCCCCTCCAGGGCTGGGCGGAGACTCGTCGGTCAGCCATCAGCTGAACAAGATGGAGGCTCACCAACACGCGCCCAGCCACCATCCTCACATCTACAGTCAGCACTACCAACACCACCACCACCCCAGCCAGCAGTCCTCAAAGGCTGGGGAGCTCCCCCACTCCTCGTCCTCTTCGCCCAGCAGTGAGGGCATGCTGCCCAGCTCTCAGGGCAGTGGAGGTGGAGGGGCTGGAGAGGAGATCGACACCAGGGACGTGGCCCAGAGGATCATCACTGAGCTGAAGAGGTACAGCATCCCCCAGGCCATCTTTGCAGAGAGGGTGCTGTGTAGGTCACAGGGCACTCTGTCTGACCTCCTGAGGAACCCCAAGCCCTGGGGCAAGCTCAAGTCTGGCCGCGAGACCTTCAAGAGGATGTCCCGCTGGCTGCAGGAGCCCGAGTTTCAAAGGATGGCCTCACTGCGGCTGGAGGGTAAGATCTCTTTCCATTTCTCTCCACCTCTCTCTTTCTCTCCATGTTTTTCTAAAAAAAATCCAACAAGATCTGTATGCTGCTCAGAGGAATGAAAAACAAGTAGTTATTTTCCTATGTTCCTAAAGGATAGGTTTGAATGATAGGTCCATAGTTTGCACAGTCATGACTCTCACATTTTAGGCGCTCACAAAAGACATGTTACAGATCATTCAAGGAGCAGGGTACACCAATTTATTTTGATCTAGTTAAACCATTAGAATGGACATTTTCCATTCTTAAATGAACCATGGAGATCATAATTACAAGGATTATTGGTGGTGGTTTAAGAACTTTTGAAATCGCCAAAAAATACGATTTGTTTGTGCATGCCTGAAGTTAAGAGTTGGGGAGATAGTTAGGAAATGTTGTTTCTGTTGTGGAAACATACACCTGTGCTTTCACCCACACTTCATATGAAATCCCCATGTCTGGGAAAAATAAAATGAATATTGGTGAAATGGGAGTACAAGATAAAACAACATTATGAAAAAAAAATAGGTATTTTTAAAAGGCAGGGCATGATTTGTTGGTTGACATTTGATATTCTTTGGGGATATGCACTGAAGAAGTGCATATCAATGTACAGTGCCTTGTTACAGTGTTGTCACTCCATAGGGACTGAGAACCCATTTGATACACGAAGCACAGAAAGAGATCCAAGTGAACACAGTAATATGATATGGGCTGAGAGGAGTGTGTGTATGTCGGCAGGGGGCTGTGAGCTGTGTAAGCAAGCACAGTTGATCACAGCTTTTCGCTATCTGTCAGCAGCCCAACTGATTAAGCCCAAAAACACAATAGGGCTCATAAGTAATGATTGTGCACTCTTGCAATCCTCTCACAATTATTGATCTTTGATTGTTTAGCTCTCTGAACACGTGTACATCCTCAGTTCGACAAAATGTTACACTAATCATACTCAACCCAGTTACAAGTGATTGAATTATCTTGTTTAGATTTGCAGAGTTTCTGTTATGTGACAGTTTTGTTGTCTACAGTATATCGTCAATGCATCCAATCTTTACTTGAAGCAGTGTTATTGTGCAAGGAAGGAAATGTTTTCCCCCTGCCACTGAGGTGTTGTGCGATCTGTAAACATAATACTTTTTTTCATTTTGAGAAAACACCACCTTTTTATCATAGATGACCCAAACAATTTGGATGATCCTGCAGTATTCTTGTTATTTTACCTCCACAGTCATATATTTTTTTCCACGACTCACTGCTCCAAATTTCAAGGAGCAGATCAATCCTAGTCATAAAAAATGAAGGAGCTTACGTGGGGAATATATTGCGAGCGTACAAACATTTGACAATGCTTTTCCCCCACACAGACTAAACTTGCATATTTAGTTATTGGCAAAGGCACAATTTGGACAGCTCTGCACTTTTCTACATAACCTACTTTCTGAGGGGGTTGTTTTTCCCTTCCCGGCCAACCCCCTTTTGTTTAATTACAAGCCTCTATTGATTTCCATGGGAAAGAGCAGCACGCCTTGCACACACATACCTCGACCACATCGGCAGATCGAGACTGGAATTAGAATGCACAGTGCCCTGTGCTCCCTAGTCTGAAGATAGCTCAAGTGTTGTTTGCGTCACGCCTCAAGTTTTAAGATGATCCACCTTAATGCAGCTCTCCCTTAAATACCCACCAGCTCCTTCAGCATGTCAGTGTCTCAGCCAGCTCTCCATGTTTATTTTTATCATGCCAGTTATCTTCCCTCGACAAAATGTTTTATTATGCAAAGCTTTAGGATAAATGGTGGACCTGATTATGTCATGTCATCGTCTTTTAATATTTCTCTTTATGTGGAGACATTCTGAAGAGCTTACATGGAGAAGGTTATTTTTTCTCTCTCCTGTTTAGTGGTTATGCTCTCTAGATGCATCTTCAGGCTAACCTCAGGCTGTGGAGGAGGCAATCAGGCTTTAGTCAGAGAAGAAGGCAAGGTGCAGCTAAAGACCACACAGTGGTGCTTGAACACTTTAAGTCGCGAGGGATCAGGGAACCTAACTTTAAAGATGATGGCTGAAGCCCTTGACTGAAGGTCTAAATGAATAAGAAAGGTCAATGCGGTTTATGTCTCAGGTCCAGTGGCTGCGCCATCCCCCAGTAATTAAAGCCATGAAGCCAATCCACTGTATGTACACTATTATATTCAGTTCAGTTATCCTAGCTCAAAGGTCACAAGGGAAATATTTGCATGTGAAAAATGCGTAACATTCCAGTATGGTTTAAACAGCACAGTCTCCCAAACAAACAATGTTGTTTTTATCGGGTTGTTGCAGCTCCTCATTCTGGCGCTGAAGGGGTTAACCCGCCTCTATGGGTTGAGGAGTCTGAGCTGCACAGATTTAATCAATAATTTCTATCAGCCCCTGGCCCAAGAAATCAGCAGGGGGTGGGCTGGGGCTGGAGGGGGGAGACAGGGAGGGGGTCGGCTAGGAGGGGGGTGGAGGTTCAGACGCCGGGGGGTAGGGAAAGGGCTTTCGATCACGTTTCAGCAACACGAGACAAGGGCATACATCATGATCAGGGGCTGTTCCCACGATCATAAGAAGCCTATAGGGGAATATTTATGTCTCCAGGAGTAGCCCCGGTGCCAGGGATTTATAGCATGGTAATTGCAAGCCTTTTACACATGATTACAGCATAAGGAAGCATTTACTTAATGGTTGGCGTTATGATCGCCAGTGAGGGAGGGACAAAAGGACAGGATGGAGGGGCGGAGGAAAAAAAGAGGAGTAGGACACCCTGACTCCTCCAACAACCCATAATTCCACAGTACAAGCAAGCTAACCACTACTTTCATCTCATTGCTTTCATTACTATGTGTTTCTGAGCACAGGACAGTATGGGTTCTATAGCTGCAGTCTTCTTATTGACATGGTATGAACATATAATGCCAGTAAAACATGTAGCAGTTGGGAAAACATATTTATTTTAGTTGTGGTAATATTGACGTTTGACATTTCAGGCCGTTCAGATTTTAATGAGACATGGCTCGATAACTCTCAGAAATGTAAATGAGCTGTAGATGCCTAAAAGCTAACAGGCCCTGTAATCACAAGTTGACAAGAGGTTAGACATCCCAGAGTCTAACATTTCCTTCAGATAATGATTCAGAGTGAATATACAGTGGGAATTACAGCACAATGTATTAATGCACAACATTCACATTAGCTAAACTAGACCTCAGCTATAGGCCTAGCCCTAGTGAATTTGAAATGTCGTCATTTAATGGCGCTGCTAATAAATGTCCTAATGATAAAATATTTATAAATTGTCTTTGAGTTGCCGTTTATCATATGCACTACTGTGCTTTTACAGCAAATATCAGGCCTATCAACCCTCAATGTGTGAGATGATTTTCAATGGGGAGATATACAGTAAGCCAATCTATCTATTGAACATCTCAGCGCCTTTCTTTGAGACTGGGGGCAGCCTCGCTGTGTGCCCTGCTTACGCTTAAAAAATACCATCACCATCAGCAAAAAAAGCAATACAACCACACACTGCTGATTGAGATGTCTTAAAAGTGTGCATTTAGGTAATTACAAGAGTCACCCAAATATGTTTTAGTCCACTTAGGGCTTCTGAACACTCGGAGCAGTGCAGACTCTGCTTGTTTCAATCCCCTCTGACGTAACCTATTTAATAGAAAATAAATTAGTCCCCCCTAAAGTGATTATCACTCACTCTCTCCGCCTCATGTAAATGACTTTTATGAGAAACTAATGATGTTGGAGTGTCCACTAAGGCAAGTCGGAGGGGAAGAGGAGGGAAAATGAGGAAGAAAGGGGGGGGAGGGGCTGTCTTAGTTTACGAAGACAACGGTGGGTGTAGTGTTTCCAGTACATACAGTATCTATTGTAGGCCTACTTGTACATGTGGTCAAATGTTTAGTTGTGGGCAGAGTAGCCCATACACTTTGTATTATCTAATCCTCAAATGGATGCACTGCAGACACAGCCTATAGCCTATACAGTTTTATCTCAGCACTCTAATTAGGCTACATGTAAACGTTGAACAATATAACATTGTAAGTGGGTCATTTCAAATTACTGCATTTTCTCTCAGAGACATTATATTATTTTCCCTCACGAGGACTGCACTGGCTACTGTATACTATGATCCTGGACTGCAATTGTGTGTGAATAGCCTATGGAGCATAAACACTTTTCACTCTCCTGTGAATGCACAGACTTGCACTTAGACATTTACTATCCTAATGCAAAAAGCATTTAGGGACTTTACTGCAAAAATTGCTTGCAGGCTACTTATAGTCTACATTTGGATGCTATTTGGTTGGCATGGCCAATTTTGCCTGCCTCAAGTTGGCTTCTCTTTTTTGCCTTGGAAAACGTCTGTTATTCCTGTAGAATGGTAGCCTCTGCCCCCGTTGCTACATCTCTGTCCTCTGTCCTGGATAACTGTCAACGGAAAACAACGATTTGGAATTTAGTCGAACTGAAATTCCAAATAAAAGCGAAGCAACATTGTAGCCGAGTCTTACCTGTAAATGTGTCGTTTTTTTTGGAAAACTGTAACACTAATTTAACAAACCGTTGATAGTCAATAATAGCAGCAACAAAAGCCAAAACTGCAGGTAGTCAATTGAAGTAGCCAATGTTGTTGTGCAGGAGGTAACATTGACTTTTTATTTTATGCTCTAATCTAGCATAGGCTAATTCTGAAAACTCCCTGTTTGCTAATGTGCATGTCCTGTGGTAGCCTAAATTTCCCACCACACACGTCAGGTGTCACACAGGTGCACTGACCTGTCACAGGTCTGCACATGTCAACAGAAAACAGAGTAGTCTAGCCCAGTGACGTGTACACTGTATTTGCCTTTCGTGAACTAACACTCGCACTTGACTTTTTTCCCATCTACTAGCACTGACTTTGCTGACAGCTACTTTATTGAGGAAAAATGTACTTACTATGACTGTGATATGTAGTTGTCCCACCTAGTTATCTTAAGATTAACTGTAAGTCGCTCTGGATAAGAGTCTCTGCTAAATGACTAAAATGTAAATGTAAATGTAGACCTATTCAGTAAAAAATGAAATGCGTGCCTAGAAGAACCTGTTTATTTGTTATTTATCTGTAGCCTACTTTATGTATTTTTTTGCAGGTGGAGGATAATGTCCATGACCATGACAACAAGTATTTAGGCCTAGTCTAGTTGTCTAGTAAGCATTTATCCAAGTTGAGTGGCCTACTTGCATGTAAAAGTGTGACAGCCTAATGTCTTGATTTCTGGTGGATTAGGTTTACTTTACCAACTGTGCAGTGAAACAAGTTGCTGATTCATCTCTTTTAGCGAATCAAACTTGCTTAGCTAATCTGTTTTCCTTCAACAAATCCACTTTCTCTCAGCTAATCCATTTGTCCTAGTTAGCTAGCCAATCTGTTTTAGCTAACCCATTTTTATACTTCTTATGCCTATAGCTTGCAAGCGGAAGGAGCAGGAGCAGAGTAAACTGGAGCGCAACCAGGGCCCCAAGCGCACCAGGCTGGTGTTCACAGACCTCCAGAGGCGTACCCTATTGGCCATCTTCCGGGAAAACCACCGGCCAGCCAAGGACCTCCAGGTCACCATCTCCCAGCAGCTGGGCCTGGAGCTCTCCACCGTCAGCAACTTCTTCATGAACGCCCGGCGCCGCAATGTCAACAAGTGGGCAGAAGAGGGCCGACCCTCCTCCACAGGCTCCTCGGGCTCCAGCGTGTCCTCCTCTGCTGTGTCCTGCAGCACGGCCTGATGGGATAGATGTGGGCTGGGTGGGCGTCGTGGCAGCAGAGGGCACATAGACTGGTCTAGGTAGAGATCAGGCGTAATAATGTACTCCTCATTATCAGAGGGTGTGATGGAGTTGGCGTAGTTTCGTTTTTATGAAGAATTATCACAGAGCATTTCACACCAAAGTTGAGCACTCCTTGATATTGAAGGGGTGATACCCAAAATAATATGAGAACTTGTTTGAGACAAGTTCCTATAATTTGAATGGTCGTGGGTGAATAGTTTATTAGAATTTTAAGATGGTAACAGTGAGCACCCTTGATTTCTATATTTCCTTAACAGTCATTTTGAATATGGTAGGTTATCAAATCAAATTTCATTTGTCACATGCTTCGTTAACAAAAGGTGTAGACTAACAGTGAAATGCTTACTTATGGGTCATTTTCCAACAATCCAGAGTTAAAGATCAAAAACAAATTAATATAAATAATTACACAAGGAATAATATGGTTATGAGGCTATTAATAATCAGGAGGAGACATATTGTTTTTGCCCTCATGGCTAATTTCATCTCCCTCCTAGAAAGAAAAATCAAGAGGCATCACTGCATTGCATAAAACCCCTAATTAAAATGTTCACCACCCGTTATATCGACAGATCTTCATCTTCTTATGTCCTTTGTTTCTCTGAAGAATCAAGACGAAGGTCACAGAGAATAACATGGGGATTGTGACAAAATCATAGCTCCATCACGTTTTCTAAAGAATGCGGCATGTGTCCCCATATAACATGGTTCGCAGGACTGCAGAACTCTTTGGATGATCAGGAGGTTATTTTGCTCTCTACGATTCTCCGTTTTCAATCATTACCTGTCACGAGAACCTTGACTTTTATTTTACACTTCTTGACAACGGTTCCAGCTTGAATGAATCAGTTTTCAAGGAGCAACCTTGGTGTGTCTCACTTTAAATCGGGACAGAATCAGTAAACAAGGGCTGAATTTCAAGGGATGCCAAGTCAGAGACTTTTTGATGCAACCCTCCAGCTTTAAGACGTTGACTGACCTACCAAACAAAAGCTCTGTAGCCATTTTGACTCAACCAAAACCCTTTGAACACGACGGACGCAAAGGAAAGAAGTACTTGTAACACAATGTATAGTAATGGTGTAGTATTTTTTCCACTCATGTTTCAAAACACTTAACTGAACAAACCTCGGCTCCATTGCAAATCTTTTTTTACAGACGCCTAGAAAATGGAGGAATGTGATTCTTTCAGCCCTTTTGTACAGATTTCAAGCACATTGCTCTACTTATAGAAATCCAATGGAAGTATGAGTTGTTGTTCCAGTCCTGCTACATACAACAAGGTCATTTTAGTTCCTCAAGGGACGGTTTTAACATGCCTCCTTATAACCAGTTTCATTGGAGCAAGAATTTAAAATGCAATTGCTGAACTGATCGATGTATTTATTACTGCATTTGTGTATTTATTGTTTTTCTTTTCCGTTCTCTCTATTTATTTGGTAATTTATTTATGCTATCTATATACTGTAAGTATTTATTTAATAATGCTTTGTATGTCTGTGTAAAACTGATTTTTTTTCTGATGGGCACTTTTAGTTGTAGAATCCCATCGTAATACCAAAGATTAAGATTGTCCTCCCTGAATGTATGGCCTAAACCCCTTTCCTCTCCCCGACTCCCAGTGATGTTACGTATCTCTCTCTTGAAGGCCTTTGTTTTGTAGAATAATGGGGATTTCTTTACTATTGGCAAATGTCTCTGTGGTCAGGTCTTATGCCAAGGCTTGTTTGAATGTTGTGGTAATGTGACATCTCATAGGTTCACAGGTTGCTTGTAGAATTGTGTTCAAACACCGTTCAGCAGAGTATCTCGAGTGTCCAGGGATGCACTTACGGAGCATTTCAGGCTCTTAAGTGTGAATCCTTTGAGACCCCATGGAAACATGCATGCTGTGCATCTTCCTCGAGGTTTGCATAGTAGTGACTCCCCTTGCTGCAGTGCACACACTCCTGTCTATGTCCTGCTCAATGTGATTTCACCATCTTCCAGACTCATCCCTTCTGCCAGTCTTCTCAGTTCCACAGGCTCCTCAAGCGTTTTCCTCGGTTTTGCTTTGGTGGGTAGTGGGGAGGGATAGCTTGTCCACCAGCTAGCTTGCGCCTCTCCTGTCTTTAACCTTGGGAGGGGCGTGTTGTGGGGGCCCCTTCACAGCATGCACTTGAAAGACGGGCGGTCATGAAAGAGGCCATCGACTTTTGCAAACTTCAAAGGGAGCCTTTTTCATCCGTCTCCTCTCTGCGTATCTGGTCTAAGGGTCCGCTCCTGGCCAGACCCGTGGGCTTAGGGGCATTCAAAGGGGGCGGGGAGATCAGAGAGGTGGCTGAATCACCCCTGAACAGGGTGCAATGTTTTGGGAGAGGGGGTGGAAGGGCACAATAGAGTAGAATTAAAGTTTAATGAGCAACAATTGTAAGCATGCTGTGACCGAGGGAGGGGGCCCAGTCTGGTGCAGGGAACATGAAAACCCCTACCAGTTTTGATGTTCCTTTTTTTCTAGCATGTCATATGGTGTTCTATCAAAGACAATAGGATAGGTCCCCATGACACCTTTATTTTTTCTGCTGCCCATATTTTAGAATAGAATCTGCCTTCAAATGGGGAGAGACTTCTCAGTCATTGTCTTCTCTGTCTTGACTGAGGGAGAGAACTCCCCTTTGTATGGAGAGTTGATAGACTATTGCAAGTGGTCTGTCATCAATTTAGCCTGTTGCACCCCCTAGTGGATCGTAAAAGTACGTCTTAGTCGAGGATGTTTAGAAACTATTCAGAAACTCTTCCGGGGCTTAATAACACAGGTATATTTGAATATGCATGGTTACCCTCTGATATTTTTTTGTACTATAAATTAGTACACCAGAAATCCAAAGATAGTGAAGTCTGCTCCAGTGAGATGTGCTAAGTAACACAGTATTTTTAGGTTCAGCATTTGAAATTGGAACTGAGAGATTGACATGAAGTTGTGACTGTAGAGGTAGTCATTTGACTCCGTAACCCCAGTGTTCCCTTTGTCCCCCTGTGTACATGAATACTTACCCATCTACCTCAACTGTGTGAGATGTTGTGTGCAAAGAAGTTTCTTAACCAAAGATTCCATCCTTTCAGGGTGTCTGTCCATCTGTCTCTCATGCTTTTTCAAAACCAAATGTGCTGGAATCAATCTGTTACAGGAGCAACCAAGCCCCATCCAGCCAAAGCGTAGTCCAGTGCACTACATAAGTCATATTTACCAATAATCTGTATATAATAATTTTCAAGACCAAAAAAGTAGGTGACAATCCAAGCAAGGAGGATCTTGCTGTAATCAACGTTACCTATTCCTTGTACCAAACTATAATCATGTGACTTACTGTAATAGTTATGAAAGCCCAAGAATCAAGAGTTCAACCAAAAACAAAAGGTCAAGAGGAGACTAAAGCTATTTTTCCACATTTGTAAAACCATTTCTCCTTTTCCAATATGTTAGTATATTTGAAATACTGGTTGATCCCACTGTTGGAAGCAGGAATAAATGACTCCATACAAAAGCTTTAATGAGGCCAAATTGAGGGAAATATTGTATTTGACATGGGTTTGTGTCTGGGTTCCTGAACTAGGACTCACCCACCATACTTATCGTGCCATTCTCGTCCATGTGTTAGACTAACTAATGAATGTGGCTAACCAACCAAAGGCTTAAAACACAACACTTTAAATGTCAATCATGGTGGGACATTTTGTAACAACAACTAAAGAGAATCCCTTTGAATACCTCATGTGAAATTGTTTGTTGTGATGTTGCACCAAAAAATTAAAATGACTCATTTGTAACCCAATTTAGTTTGTTGGTCTGCTGACTTCACGCTGCATGGCAACACACATTTGAGCACAGGATGTAGGTCTACATTTGTTTCATTTTGACTGTGACTGAGGAAATGGAAATAAACACACATTGCAATTTACAGTCACTACAGTTTGGATGTAGAAATTTTAATTCAATTCAAATCAGTTCTTTCAAAGTTATATTTATTCAATAACAAAATCTACTTTGATTTAAGTAAGTAAGTAGCCTTGCACAATACTTGGTACGAGCCAGAACGGCTCATAGGAGCAGGACCCTATCTCCTGTTTCTGTAGCGTGAGGTAGCTTGATGTACAAGTACACCCCCTGGACAGGACACTAGCTACAGTGATAATGTAGATAATCACATTTGCCTTATACATCATTTGTAATGACAGAAAGTGAAATGGTAAAGACTAAAAATGAATTACATTAAATTAATAAAAGGGTTCAGGTTTTCCAGTTAGGCCGCTTTGATTGGCAGGAGTTACATGATAGGGTAGCACCCGTACAAGGCGATGCCACACTGGTTGTCCTTGTTGCGTGACATCCGTATATATCCCTGGTCTCCCCACGATAAGCCCCAGCTAGACAGAGGGTAAAGAAGATTTAAACATATCTCCAATGAACATCGATACTCAATAAACCAGGGGTCTTCAAGCTTTTCTTCCCCCTCCCAGGCAAACCGGCGACCCAGGGACAACAACAAAAAATCAACAAAATAAATCACCTGTCTTGTCTTATCATCAGGTGAATCATAATGGCATAGATTTGGTAAATCGTTTTTTCATTATTTTGACCTCCCCACATTATAATTGTAAAAGGAAATGTAAACTCTAACATAGCCTATTAGCTAGAAAGGTAACTCCAAACACATTTCCACTAAGAGCAGCTATTTAGCTGGTTAAACAAAGGTTAGCCAGCCATGTGTTGGCAAAAATGTATGTCCAAGTCAAAAAAGTTTACCAGCAGCTAGCTGACTAAACTCAACTCTATGGTGAAGGAAGTTTCTGATAAACTATACCAACGGAGTTGAGCAGAGACCAGGCTTTGTGGAATTCAGCTCCGATTACATTGATTCGCTCAAGGTCAATACTTCAAAAAAAGTAAATTATGAAACGCTTACCTTGTACCTATGTTTGTCCTCTGTAGTTGTGTACCTTTCTTTTTCAATAAATGTTAATCAAATACAACCACTGACTGTTTGCTCGTTTCTGTTTCTCGAAGATGGCAACTCAGCGCAAATGCGCATGTGCCAATTGAATCTCCGATGACGCAGGCCTAGGTCTCCAAATAGTCATTGTCCAATCAAATCACACAATCTAGGCCTACGTCATCGGAGATTCAATTGGTACATGCTCATTTGTGCTGAGTTGCCATCTTTGAGAAAAAGAAACAAGCAAACAGTCAGTGGTTGTATTTGACTAACATTTATTGAAAAAATATGGATTTCATCAAACGAAGAAAGGCACGCAACTACAGAGGACAAACATAGGTAGGTACAAGGTGAGCGTTTCATATATATATATTTTTTAATGTATTGACCTTGGGCAGAGCTTAAATTCCACAAAGCCTGGTCTCTGCTCAACTCCGTTAGTGGAGTTTATCAGAAACCTCTTTCACCATGGAGTTGAGCTTAGTCAGCTAACCAACAGCCAGCGGCACTTGCTGTACTGGTAGCCTATACACGGGCGCTTTTTCAAAGCCTATGTTAGATACTCCAGTAATTGGCTCCAATGAGTGTAATTTGCTCAATATTAGGAGTTAAGAGATAAAGTTGATATTATTATACTGAACAAAAATATAAGGCAAATGGTATTGACTGGTTTTCTGATCCACGCCCCTACCTTTTTTTTAAAGGTATCTGTGACCAACAGATGCATATCTGTATTCCCAGTCATGTGAAATTCATAGATTAGAGCCTAATGAATTTATTTCAGTTGCCTGATTTCCTTATATGAACTGTAACTAAATAAAATCCTTGAAATTGTTGCATATTGTGTTTATATTTAAAATATATTCTCCTCTTTTCTACAGTAGGTATGTTGTCCATTCTGTTGTTGCTAGAGATATTCATAAAAATATTGGGAGGGAAAAATTATATTACAATGATTATTATTTTGGTGGACCCCCTGCTGTACCCCTAAGGGGCTGTGGACCCCCTGTTGAATAACCCCACAATAAACAATAGCATTAAATCCCAAACTACCAAGGTTCACTTGTCTAAAGCCCAATTTGAGTTTTACGTTCTCTTTTCACTTCCCTTTTTATCCTTCAACATGGTCCAGTTTCTCGGAATAGAACAAAGGAGCAGATTGGAGGTTTGAAAAGGGGAATCTAGTTTAATAAACATCCACTTGGAGGATCTTTTCATCTCAGCCCTGAACAGTAGCCCTGTTTGATTAAATATCTAGATACAGAACAACAGAAGAGCAGATGGAGCTTTGAAGATGGAAACTCTGAGTGAAGTTCTAAATCCCCTTACCTGTTCTTCAGCAGCCAGTAATCCTGCCCACCCAAGGTACCGTAACCCACAGCAAGGACAGCATGGTTTACCTTCTTTGTGCAAGTTGGATCATTGTAAATTCCTACAATGATACATGGGTTGGACAATGACAAGTCAGCTCTCAAGATATATGCATTTCTCCTCAAGTCAAGGCCAAACAGTTACAGTGGGGGAAAAAAAGTATTTAGTCAGCCATCAATTGTGCAAGTTCTCCCACTTAAAAAGGTGAGAGAGGCCTGTAATTTTCATCATAGGTACACGTCAACTATGACAGACAAATTGAGGAAAAAAATTCCTGAAAATCACATTGTAGGATTTTTTATGAATTTATTTGCAAATTATGGTGGAAAATAAGTATTTGGTCACCTACAAACAAGCAAGATTTCTGGCTCTCACAGACCTGTAACTTCTTCTTTAAGAGGCTCCTCTGTCCTCCACTCGTTACCTGTATTAATGGCACCTGTTTGAACTTGTTATCAGTATAAAAGACACCTGTCCACAACCTCAAACAGTCACACTCCAAACTTCACTATGGCCAAGACCAAAGAGCTGTCAAAGGACACCAGAAACAAAATTGTAGACCTGCACCAGGCTGGGAAGACTGAATCTGCAATAGGTAAGCAGCTTGGTTTGAAGAAATCAACGGTGGGAGCAATTATTAGGAAATGGAAGACATACAAGACCACTGATAATCTCCCTCGATCTGGGGCTCCACGCAAGAGCTCACCCCGTGGGGTCAAAATGATCACAAGAACGGTGAGCAAAAATCCCAGAACCACACGGGGGGACCTAGTGAATGACCTGCAGAGAGCTGGGACCAAAGTAACAAAGCCTACCATCAGTAACACACTACGCCGCCAGGGACTCAAATCCTGCAGTGCCAGACGTGTCCCCCTGCTTAAGCCAGTACATGTCCAGGCCCATCTGAAGTTTGCTAGAGTGCATTTGGATGATCCAGAAGAGGATTGGGAGAATGTCATATGGTCAGATGAAACCAAAATAGAACTTTTTGGTAAAAACTCAACTCGTCGTGTTTGGAGGACAAAGAATGCTGAGTTGCATCCAAAGAACACCATACCTACTGTGAAGCATGGGGGTGGAAACATCATGCTTTGGGGCTGTTTTTATGCAAAGGGACTAGAATGACTGATCCGTGTAAAGGAAAGAATGAATGGGGCCATGTATCGTGAGATTTTGAGTGAAAACCTCTTTCCATCAGCAAGGGCATTGAAGATGAAACGTGGCTGGGTCTTTCAGCATGACAATGATCCCAAACACACCACCCGGGCAACGAAGGAGTGGCTTCGTAAGAAGCATTTCAAGGTCCTGGAGTGGCCTAGCCAGTCTCCAGATCTCAACCCCATAGAAAATCTTTGGAGGGAGTTGAAAGTCCGTGTTGCCCAGCGACAGCCCCAAAACATCACTGCTCTAGAGGAGATCTACATGGAGGAATGGGCCAAAATACCAGCAACAGTGTGTGAAAACCTTGTGAAGACTTACAGAAAACGTTTGACCTGTGTCATTGCCAACAAAGGGTATATAACAAAGTATTGAGAAACTTTTGTTATAGACCAAATAATTATTTTCCACCATAATTTGCAAATACATTCATAAAAAATCCTACAATGTGATTTTCTGGATTTTTTCCCCCTCATTTTGTCTGTCATAGTTGACGTGTACCTATGATGAAAATTACAGGCCTCTCTCATCTTTTTAAGTGGGAGAACTTGCACAATTGGTGGCTGACTAAATACTTTTTTCCCCCACTGTAGTTGACCATAAAGTGGACAATTACAACACAATTAAAGCCACATTGTTTGCATTACCAATGTCAACACCATGCTCTGCTTAAAATTTTAAAAACATGATCCAAGATGTACAATTATTGAATTAATTTTAAAAGGAAGTTTTTCCATACCACTGCGGTAGAAGGCAAAAAGTGGTCGGGTGGCGTCAATGGCGACAGAGATGGGTCCGATGGTGGCCAGTGCTTCTTTCAGAGCCCCCTCATCCCCCTCAGGCAGAAAGCTGTACCTGGAACAGTTTGCAGCACGCTGAGCAGGGTTGTAGCTACACTGTTGTTGCTAACAGGGGAGACAAGACAACAAAGGGGTCAGATACTACTGCACAAGGCTAATGTGGCATGGGGAGGTGGAGGGTGAAATAAGCTACAACCAGCTAGTTACTACAGCTACTTACCAAGAGCAGCTGACCCCAGCTACACACTACTAATACTGTTAATACTACTTCATACTCACCACTCCCTTGTAGGGGTAGGATTGGTCAGAGTCAATGCCCTGGTTGTCGATGACATACTGGAAGGCCTGGTCCATGAAGCCACCATTGCAGCCCTTATTGCCATATTTGGAGGAGCAGTCCACCAGGTTCTGGGGGCTGAGGTCTATCAGTTTACCTGTGGTCTTCATCAGCTGGCCCTCCAGGGCCCCGACAGAGCTGAATGCCCAGCAGGAGCCACAGGAGCCCTATGGACAAAACAATTGTTAGGGAAGCAATCCCCATCTAATACCTGGATAAAGTTCATTTGAGAGCCCTATTAGTAATACCTTATTTTACAGTACTATTTCATTACTATTAAATCTACAATAAATGATGTGGTAGCAATGGTTGCTGAAACTTGTGCAATCTAACAAAAAGGAAAAAAACTTGGTTTCAAATACTGCTTAGTGGTGTTTGATTCAGTTCTCACTGCACCCCAAAAGTAATGACAGTCAGTACAATGTATCTATTATTTTACTATGTAATACAGAACATTTTTACTGGCACAATAAAGTGTAACTGAAATGTTTATGTTTTGTAGTGCTTGTCATTCAGTGGTTTTAAACTTGCAAACGCTAGCACTTAGGCCGACAACTACCTCACATAAAAGGAACTAATTCAATGACTGAGAACAAGGAAGAAACCTACAGTAGACAAACAGAGGAAGTGAGACCTGAAAAGAGACAACTCTGTGCTTCAACATCCTGATATCAGTTATTACACTGTAACAACAACTTTAATTCAACCCAAAGATATTTACCAGTAGTTAAAAAAGAGAATATAGTGAGGGAAAAAAGTATTTGATCCCCTGCTGATTTTGTACATTTGCCCACTGACAAAGACATGATCAGTCTATATGTCACGCTCGTTGATGAACGGGATGGACCAAGGCGCAGCGTGATATGCGTACATGTTTATTTGAACCGAATAAACAACACAACAAAACAACAAACGAACCGTGAAGTCCAAGGTAGAACACAAAACATACCTTACACGGAACAAGATCCCACAACTACACAGTGCCAATAGGCTGCCTAAGTATGGTCCCCAATCAGAGACAACGAGCGACAGCTGCCTCTGATTGGGAACCACACCGGCCAACATAGATCTAGACATACTAGATAGAAAACATAGAAAATACAACATAGAAAATCACACCCTGACTCAACAAATAAGAGTCCCCAGAGTCAGGGCGTGACAGTACCCCCCCCCCAAAGGTGCGGACTCCGACCGCACAACATAAACATAACAGGGTAGGTGCCGGGTGGGCATTCCGCCTCGGAGGCGGCTCCGGCTCAGGGCGTGACGACCTCTCACTCTTCGCCTCCCTGTTGCGCCCTTGGTCTGGTCTAGACCTCGGCGCGTTGCTTCCCCTCTCCTTCCTCCCACTATACTCCAAGCCCTGTCTGGACCCTGGTGTGGGAGACACCAAACCTGGAGAGGGGCTGACGTCTGGGTCTGGACTGGAGCCGCTGACCGGAGCCGCTGACCGGAGCTGGACCGGGCACCGGTGGAGCGGACTGCTCAGGCACCGGACTTGACCCCGGTGGAGCGGACTGCTCTGGCTCCGGAGTGGAGCCGCTGACCGGAGCTGGATCAGGCACCGGTGGAGCGGACTGCTCTGGCTCCGGAGTGGAGCCGCTGACCGGAGCTGGACTGGACCCTGGTGGAGCGGACTGCTCTGGCTCCTGAGTGGAGCAGCTGACCGGAGCTGGATCAGGCACCGGTGGAGCGGACTGCTCTGGCTCCGGACTGGAGCAGCTGACCGGAGCTGGATCAGGCACTGGTGGAGCGGACTGCTCTGGCTCCGGACTGGAGCTTCTGACTGGTGCCGGACCAGGCACCGGTGGAACAGGCACGGGTCGTGCCGGACTGGACACACTCACCACTGGTCTGGTGCGAGGAGCAGGCACGGGCCGAACCGGACTAGGAACATGCACCACTGGCTTGGTGCGAGGAGCAGGAACAGGCCGGGCCGGACTGGCGACACTCACCACTGGCTTGGTGCTAGGAGCGGGAACAGGCCGGGCCGGACTGGCGACGCGCACCACTGGCTTGGTGCGAGGAGCAGGAACAGGCCGGGCCGGGCTGGCGACGCGCACCACTGGCTTGGTGCGAGGAGCAGGAACAGGCCGGGCTGGGAACACGCACCACTGGTTTGGTGCGAGGAGCAGGAACAGGCCGGACCGGGCTGGCGACGCGCACCACTGGCTTGGTGCGAGGAGCAGGAACAGGCCGGGCCGGGCTGGCGACGCGCACCACTGGCTTGGTGCGAGGAGCAGGAACAGGCCGGGCTGGGAACACGCACCACTGGTTTGGTGCGAGGAGCAGGAACAGGCTGGACCGGGCTGGCGACGCGCACCACTGGCTTGGTGCGAGGAGCAGGAACGGACCGTACCGGACTGTGGAGGCGGACTGGAGGTCTGAAGCGGAGAGCTGGCACAACCCGTCCTGGCTGGATGCCTACTTCCGCACAGTATGTGTGAGGCATTAGCACAGGACGCACAGGGCTGTGCACGCATTAAAAACTGTAATATCTTATGTTTCACCGAGTCGTGGCTGAACGACGACATGGATAACATACAGCTAGCGGGCTATACGCTACATCGGCAGGATAGAACGGCTGACTCCGGTAAGACAAGGGGTGGTGGTCTGTGTATATCTGGTGCACAAAATCAAATACTAAGGAAGTCTCGAGGTTTTGCTCGCCTGAGGTAGAGTATCTTATGATAAGCTGTAGACCACACTATTTACCAAGAGAGTTTTCATCTATATTTTTCATAGCTGTCTATTTACCACCACAAACCAATGCTGGCATTAAGATTGCACTGAATGAGTTGTACAAGGCCATAAATCAACAGGAAAACGCTCATCCAGATGCAGCGCTCCTAGTGGCCGGGGACTTTAATGCAGGGAAACTTAAATCAGTTCTAGCTAATTTCTACCAGCATGTTAAATGTGCAACCAGAGGGAAAAAAACTCTAGACCACCTTTACTCCACACACAGAGACGCATACAAAGCTCTCCCTCGCCCTCCATTTGGCAAATCTGACCATAACTCTATCCTCCTGATTCCTGCTTATAAGCAAAAACTAAAGCAGGAAGCACCAGTGACTTGGTTAATAAAAAAGTGGTCAGATGACGCAGATGCTAAGCTACAGGACTGTTTTGCTAGCACAGACTGGAACATGTTCCGGGATTCTTCAGACAGCATTGAGGAGTACACCACATCAGTCACTGGCTTCATCAATAAGTGCATCGATGATGTCGTCCCCACAGTGACCGTACGTACATACCCCAACCAGAAGCCATGGATTACAGTAAACATCCGCACTGAGCTAAAGGGTAGAGCTGGCGCTTTCAAGGAACGGGACTCTAACCCGGACGCTTATAAGAAATCCCGCTATGCCCTCCGACGAACCATCAAACAGGCAAAGAGTCAATACAGGACTAAGATTGAATCGTACTACACTGGCTCTGACGCTCGTCGGATGTGGCAGGGCTTGAAAACTATTACAGACTACAAAGGGAAGCACAGCCGTGAGCTGCCCAGTGACACAAGCCTACCAGATGAGCTAAACCACTTCTATGCTCTCTTCGAGGCAAGCAACACTGAAGCATGCATGAGAGCACCAGCTGTTCCGGATGACTATGTGATCACGCTCTCCGTAGCCGATGTGAGTAAGACTTTTAAGCAGGTCAACATTCACAAGGCCGCAGGGCCAGACGGATTACCAGGACGTGTACTCCGAGCATGTGCTGACCAACTGGCAAGTGTCTTCACTGACATTTTCAACATGTCCCTGACTGAGTCTGTAATACCAACATGTTTCAAGCAGACCACCATAGTCCCCGTGCCCAAGGACTCTAAGATAACCTGCCTAAATGGCTACCGACCCGTAGCACTGACGTCTGTAGCCATGAAGTGCTTTGAAAGGCTGGTCATGGCTCACATCAACAGCATTATCCCAGAAACCCTAGACCCACTCCAATTTGCATACCGCCCCAACAGATCCACAGATGATGCAATCTCTATTGCACTCCACACTGCCCTTTCCCACCTGGACAAGAGGAACACCTACGTGAGAATGCTATTCATTGACTACAGCTCAGCATTCAACACCATAGTGCCCTCTAAGCTCATCACTAAGCTAAGGATCCTGGGACTAAACACCTCCCTCTGCAACTGGATCCTGGACTTCCTGACGGGCCGCCCTCAGGTGGTAAGGGTAGGTAACAACACATCTGCCACACTGATCCTCAACACGGGGGCCCCTCAGGGGTGCGTGCTCAGTCCCCTCCTGTACTCTCTGTTCACCCATGACTGCATGGCCAGGCACGACTCCAACACCATCATTAAGTTTGCCGACGACACAACAGTGGTAGGCCTCCTATAGGGAGGAGGTCAGAGACCTGGCCGTGTGGTGCCAGGACAACAACCTCTCCCTCAACGTGACCAAGACAAAGGAGATGATTGTGGACTACAGGAAAAAAAAGAGGACTGAGCACGCCCCCATTCTCAGCCTCCCTACTGTTATTTTATTTTACTTCTGCTCTTTTTTTTCTCAACACTTTTTTTGTTGTTGTTTTATTTTTACTTTTTTTGTTAAAAATAAATGCACTGTTGGTTAAGGGCTGTAAGTAAGCATTTCACTGTGATGTCTGCACCTGTTGTATTCGGCGCATGTGACCAATACAATTTGATTTGATTTGATTTGATTTACAGTACGTAGAACCGGCGCAGGATATGCAGGACCGAGGAGGCGTACTGGAGTCCAGGAGCGTTGAGCCGGCACACCCCGTCCTGGCTGGATGCCCATCTTCGCACGGCACGTGCGTGCGTGGTGCTAGCACAGGACATACAGGACTGTGCCGGCACACTGGCGACACAGTACGTAGCTCCGCATAACACGGAGCCTGCCCAGTCACACGCTTCCTCGCATGAGTACGGGGAGTTGGCTCTGCTCTAACACTAGGCTCCGCCAACCACCCTTTTAGCCCCCCAATTTTTTTTTCTTGGGGCTGTCTCTCGGCCTTCTTCCTCGACCGGCGTCCTCTGTGTTGCCATTGCTCCTCTCCTGCCTGGGCATCTACCTTCGCCCATGGCCCTTTCCCCGCAAATATCTCCTCCCATGACCACCAATTTCCCACCTGTGACATGGCTACTCTCTCCGCCTGGGCACGCTGCTTGGTCCTCGTTTGGTGGGATCTTCTGTCACGCTCGTTGATGAACGGGACGGACCAAGGCGCAGCGTGATATGCGTACATGTTTATTTGAACCGAATAAACAACACGACAAAACAACAAACGAAACGAACCGTGAAGTCCAAGGTAGAACACAAAACATACCTTACACGGAACAAGATCCCACAACTACACAGTCCCAATAGGCTGCCAAAGTATGGTCCCCAATCAGAGACAACGAGCGACAGCTGCCTCTGTTTGGTAACCACAGCGGCCAACATAGATCTAGACATACTAGATAGAAAACATAGAAAATACAACATAGAAAATCACACCCTGACTCAACAAATAAGAGTCCCCAGAGTCAGGGCGTGACACTATAGTTTTAATGGTAGGTTTATTTGAACAGTGAGAGACAGAATAAAAACAAAAAAATCCAGAAAAACGCATGTCAAAAATGTTATAAATTGATTTGCATTTTAATGAGGGAAATAGGTATTTGACCCCTCTGCAAAACATGACTTAGTACATGGTGGCAAAACCCTTGTTGGCAATCAGAGAGGTCAGACGTTTCTTGTAGTTGGCCACCAGGTTTGCACACATCTCAGGAGGGATTTTGTCCCACTCCTCTTTGCAGATCTTCTCCAAGTCATTAAGGTTTCGAGGCTGACGTTTGGCAACTCGAACCTTCAGCTCCCTCCACAGATTTTCTATGGGATTAAGGTCTGGAGACTGGCTAGGCCACTCCAGGACCTTAATGTGCTTCTTCTTGAGCCACTCCTTTGTTGCCTTGGCCGTGTGTTTTGGGTCATTGTCATGCTGGAATACCCATCCACGACCCATTTTCAATGCCCTGGCTGAGGGAAGGAGGTTCTCACCCAAGATTTGACGGTACATGGCCCCGTCCATCGTCCCTTTGATGCAGTGAAGTTGTCCTGTCCCCTTTGCAGAAAAACACCCCCAAAGCATAATGTTTCCACCTCCATGTTTGACGGTGGGGATGGTGTTCTTGGGGTCATAGGCAGCATTCCTCCTCCTCCAAACACGCCGAGTTGAGTTGATGCCAAAGAGCTCGATTTTGGTCTCATCTGACCACAACACTTTCACCCAGTTCTCCTCTGAATCATTCAGATGTTCATTTGCAAACTTCAGACGGGCCTGTATATGTGCTTTCTTGAGCAGGGGGACCTTGCTGGCGCTGCAGGATTTCAGTCCTTCACGGCGTAGTGTGTTACCAATTGTTTTATTGGTGACTATGGTCCCAGCTGCCTTGAGATCATTGGCAAGATCCTCCCGTGTAGTTCTGGGCTGATTCCTCACCGTTCTCATGATCATTGCAACTCCACGAGGTGAGATCTTGCATGGAGCCCCAGGCCGAGGGAGATTGACAGGTCTTTTGTGTTTTTTCCATTTGCAAATAATCGCACCAACTGTTGTCACCTTCTCACCAAGCTGCTTGGCGATGGTCTTGTAGCCCATTCCAGCCTTGTGTAGGTCTACAATCTTGTCCCTGACATCCTTGGAGAGCTCTTTGGTCTTGGCCATGGTGGAGAGTTTGGAATCTGATTGATTGCTTCTGTGGACAGGTGTCTTTTATACAGGTAACCAGCTGAGATTAGGAGCACTCCCTTTAAGAGTGTGCTCCTAATCTTAGCTCGTTACCTGTATAAAAGACACCTGGGAGCCAGAAATCTTTCTGATTGAGAGGGGGTCAAATACTTATTTCCCTCATTAAAATGCAAATCAATTTATAACATTTTTGACATGCGTTTTTCTGGATTTTTTTGTTGTTATTCTGTCTCTCACTGTTCAAATAAACCAACCATTAAAATTATAGACTGATCATTTCTTTGTCAGTGGGCAAACGTACAAAATCAGCAGGGGATCAAATACTTTTTCCCCCTCACTGTACATATCATTTATGATATACATACAACCGTACACATGTACACAAATGTTATATGATTTGATTTGATTTATTAGGATCCCCATTAGCTAATGGCGACAGCAAGTCTTACTGGGGTCCGACACAACAAAAAAGACATTACAGACAAAATACTTAACAATTTACATACATTTAAAAACATGAACATGTAGTGTGTGTGTGTGTGTGTGTGTGTGTGTGTGTGTGTGTGTGTGTGTGTGTGTGTGCATCTATCAGTTACACATACAGTGCTGCTTGAAAGTATGTTAACCCCTTGTGTAATTACAAATTTCTTTCGGTTTTTACCATGAAATCTTCATTTAATCAGAACCAGTCTTTTTGATCTGACATAACAGGTTTATATTTACCAATACCATATGTTGGCGTAGAGGAAATAATGCGTGTAGTAGAAAAACACAATTAAAAAGGAAATTAGTGCAGGTGCAAAAATAAGTGAACCCCAAGTTGCATTGGTTAAATCAAGTAGGTATGTAGAATGAGGTGGGTAAAAAATGAGCTACCAAATGAACCAATCAAAGGAGAGATCGTTAGGAAAGAGTTTGGGTGGGACTCTGATAAATAGAGATAAGAAACCTGGTCAGTTTGGTGTTACCCATCCAGGTGAATGCAAAGCACACCGTGCCGATAGGAAAGGAGATCTCAGAGGACATCGGTCTGGGGAAGGCTATAAAATCATCTCAAAAAGATTTGAGCTCCATCAGTCCACTGTGAGGCAAGTAATTTACAAATGGAGAGCATTTAACATGACAGCAACTCGGCCTAGAAGTGGACGCCCTTCCAAAATATCCCCAAGAGCCACAAGAACAATAATAAATCAGGCAAAAGACAACCCAAACATAACATCTAGAGATTTGCAGACCTCCCTTACTGCATCTCAGGTAACTGTGCATGCTTCAACAATAAGAACACTGAATTGAAATGCCATTCAAGGGAGGGTTGCTAGGAAGAAGCCTCTGCTGTCAAGAAAGAACCAAACTGCCCGTCTCAACTTTGCCAGAGACCACCTGGACAAACCTGAAGGTTTCTGGAAGTCCATTCTCTGGACCGATGAGTCCAAAATTGACATTTTTGGTCACAATCAACATCACACTGTTTGGCGAAAACCCAACACTGCCTACCACCAAAATAACCTTATCCCAACAGTCAAGCATGGTGGTGGGAATGTCAAGAGCTGGGGCTGCTTTTCCTCCTCTGGACCTGGACAACTCCACATCATTAAGGGAACCATGAATTCTGAGCTATACCAGGAGATTCTTGAACAGAACGACAGGCCATCAGTCAAGGAGCTAAAGCTGGATCGAAAATGGGTCTTCCAACAAGACAACGACCCAAAGCATTCAAGCAAATCTACCAAAGAATGGCTCAGGAGAAAGAAGATTTGTGTTTTGGATTGGCCAAGTCAAAATCCTGACCTAAATCCAATCGAGATGCTGTGGCAGGACCTGAAGCGAGCAGTTCATGCCAGACACCCCTCAAACGAGATGTTTAGTCCAAGTTATCGCTGCTAATGGAGGTGCCACAAGCTATTGACTGAAGGGGTTCACATATTTTTGCACACATCAAATCCGAGTTTCTGTTAAATAAACCACTTTTGTTAAATAAACAATGAAAATATATCTTTTTTTTTTGTTTCTGTCATTTACTTGGAAGTCTTTATTACGAATTGGGGTTTAGATAAGGATTTGATATGTTTATTTTAATACTTTATAGCAAAATAATGACCTGCCCTGTAGGGTTCACATACTTTCAAGCAGCACTGTACATGTCAGTACATAAAGGAGCTGTTCATCATTACCTGCATTTTGACTTCAGTGACATAGCCCTTCTCTCTCCAGTCAACAGTATCAGGTATGGGGGCACCAGAGGATCCTACAAATGCAGAGGGCTCCCTCTTGAGGTCAGCAGGAACACGCAATGAGGCAAAAGACCGGACAATCTCCTTCTGGGTCTGAAAATAGTTGACAAGAGATGCAACACATAATCAGTATCATAAACCCATCCCATGAACCCAAGGCTACATCAACTGGAGGGAGATACATGTTGAAACAGGATCACAAATACATTTAAAGGCACATAGGTCAATGTGATGATACTTTAGCTTGTGTATTTACAGAAAACAAATCAGATGCGTTCTCATGAAAGGGTGCAGCCACTTGTTATACATACTAGAGGCATAAGGAAGTATATTTGCAGTCATGCTCATTCATCTTTAGGAAACCAGTTTAGCAACATTTCAACACCTATTGGCCAAGAAAATAGAACACCGGAAAACAACGACAAAGGAACTCAACAAAATAAACATGAAGGTCAAAATCTAAATGTTTTACTCTTCCGTCATGTAAACCAGGCCAGACTGCATTACCTACTGAAAGCATACCATATTCTGTATACATTTTTTGGAATCATATTCCACACAAGCACTATCAAATTTTATGGAGGTAGATACTAAGTTTAGTAACAACTTCAGATGTCTGAGTTCCAAACTGGCCCTTGGCATTGTCAGTGACCTGAGGCCCTCACCATGTCCCCCATGTGATTCATGCCCAGGTCATAGGTGTGCATGTCCATGGACGCCTCCAGGTTGTGGAGGCTGATCAGCCGAAGATTCCTCTCCCATATCTCCCTTCGGCCCAGCTCTTCAACCTACACAGTATCCACACACACAGGTGTAGAAAAATCTCAGTCTATGACTTTTAAAACAATACACTTTCAAATATGTAAACCACACAGGTTGAATCACAATGCATTCAGTGTTAGCTAGTTACATGTAAGAATATATTTGGGAAAGGTTGTGGTACTTTCAACCTATACAGAAAACAGAACCTGTGTAAATGCCACTATAGTAGCAGCTTGGCCTCATCCTAGCCAAAACATCTTGCAGTGATGCTGGCTCATCTCACCTCAGTCTGGTAGTTCTTGCCATGTGTCTTCTTCCACATCTGCCAGTGCTGTTCCAGCATTGGGTCAAACAGGGCAACTGCTGTGCCACATAGCGCAGTGAGCAGCAGTCTCCACAACATCATGCCTGTACAGAAAATAAAAAAGTATTATTCAACCAGGAGGCAATTATATTTTATTGTTTTATCTTGGATACAAATAATGAAGTAATAGTGTGTGTGTGCCTCAAATACTCAATTCAGTTTAAGTTCCACAAATAAGTTCAACAAATTTCAATAACCATTTACTGCGACGGGAACTACTGTAGCCTATACACAATGAGTCAGCTTGTCACAAGACCAACCATCAACGGGTATTGAAACTGTTGCGCAAGCAAACTGTTGATCAACAGTCTTTAACACTGATCAAATAAATAACTCCATCATTCAGATTCTACAAAAACGTTATATATAGAAAAATGTTAATGGCCTATTCAATAGGAAGCTTCAGTGTTCAAGATTAGGCTACCTGACGCACCGGTGTTGTTAACCGATCTCTACTGCGTAAAAGAAAGCCCCAAAACAGGTCAAATTCTATAATTTCATAAAAATGAAGCATATTGTGTCGTTTGATATGCTTATTGTTTAGTTAAATAAGTATCTCAGTAGGTTTGCCACTAGGCTATCAGTAGAAATCACCCAGTTTATGAAACTGTACAACTAATTAACGTTGATGTTGTCCAAAAGTTACAAAAAAGGTTGTAATGAAAAGAGGAATTGGACAATTTCACAGAAAGAAGAAAACATAAATACAATAATGGTTATAAGAAAATAATGGTGTGATTGACAAATTAAAAACGAAAGTAAAACGAATGCTTTATGAAAATGCTTTTAAATAGGGTCAAGTTAAAACAAATTACCTAATTAAAACGAGTTTAGCTAGCTACATTATGAACTTGAAATAGTCTATCCGCTTCGACTGAAAACTGACAAACGTTTTACCTTGTAAAACTCGGTTGCACTTGATGATGACTTCAGAGGAGAGCAAGGCGCGTCAATTGTTTTCTATGGGATCCGTTTTCCTGCTTGATATTTATCTTTGAAAGTCATGTGGTAGAACTTCCTCATTGACCATTTCTAATGTGTCATATACGAATTGCTATGTTGATAATGGTAAATTCAATACTATTTCTCACTGCATTTAAAAACAATGTTATAGACCCCTTAATTATAATGTGAATGAGTTCTATGAAGGATAGGGTGAAAATATTAAAATATATGGGCAGATGTCATACTGACTAGTAGCCAGCCCACTGTTCTTAAATATTTGTTAAAATATATGAACAACTAGGGTTAAGTGACTTGCTCAAGGGCACATCTACAGAATTCTCACCTATTTGGCTTAGGGATTCAAACCAGCAACCTTTTGGTTACTGGTCCATTGCTCTTAACAATAGGCTACCTGCCAATCTCTTTTTTAAACATTGCCATCAGTGTATTCATAAACATTACATTCAATTAACGCTTCATTAACTATACAAGAGCTTCCATCTGACCTTAAAACTAGATCACAGGAAGTCTGTTGTTTGAGGGGGTGAGTCTGAGGCAGGAAGACGTGTTACTGGTATGAAACTATGTGCCATTTTCACCTGTTTATTCTCTCAATCTCAAGATCTCAAGAAGGCTTCTAATCTGTACTGTATTCATCACCAGATTTAACAGTCAACACAAATGACATGTATAATTCCTTCATATTGTTGTGTATTTATACAATAAGGGACAATGAGTGATTGTTGATTTGAGATACTTAACATAGCTGAAAAACCTCAGGAACCTTAATCTTCCTTTTTCAGTTTGTCTTTCTTTCACTTCTCTTCCCCTCAATGGGGAAATGTACAGGCACACACGCTCTCATTTCAAATGAATCCACTTTTATTCAATTTAATAGAAATCAATGTTACAATTCAATCATCAGAATTTGGTGAACAATAAAATAAAAAGTCAACATCATCAAAAAACCCACCAGGAGTAATCTTGATCAACACACACTTACATTTACTACGTTTAAGCCCTATTTGCATTGACAGGAAAGTGAGACAAAACTCCCATTGCACAGCAATGTTACCTGACCTGACACACTGAATACAACCTATGTAAATTGCTGTGCACTACACACATTCCTCATCACAATCATAGTTGTTCCACTGTAGATCAGACTACAATTGAAGTCTGGCAGTTTGATGATATAACAGTAAGACATGAGTAGGGCATTTCAAAGTGCTTGCAAAAGAACTCTGGGATACTCAAACCTCCAGACCATTAGAATGTGCTATTCCAGAAACATAGTGTTATTTTCTATACTGGGTGTAGTCATTGATATGTGGTTTGGCTTCCCTGCTTCCATGGTGCCCTCTGCTGCCTGATGTTCACATGATGGGGTAACTGGCCAGGTTGGCAATGCCACACGCATTCCCTCGGTTACGTGCCATCATGATGTAACCCTGATTGCCCCAGCTCTCGCTCCAGCTGTTAGAGAGAGAGAGAGAGAGAGAGAGAGAGAGAGAGAGAGAGAGAGAGAGAATAAAGAGGATGAATTGTGATTTTGAAAAAATACATTTCAAGTCAACAGTGTGAAATGTGTTACCTGATGCCATTGAATAAGCCCAGTGCACTGTGACCCACCTGTTCTTGACGATCCAGAATTTCACGCCCTTGGCAGTTTGTCCATAGCCCACTGCAAGCACGGCGTGGTTGATGTCATCCTTGTTGCAGTTGGGGTCGTAGTACACACCTGAGTAAATAACATTGTAAAGGAATGAGCTTCAACAAGCTTTAGAAGTCTAATGGCATGTGCTTTAGAAGTCTACTGGCATGTGTCATGTGTTACACCACTAGACTACAAGTGGTTGATTCTTCTATCCATGGTTCTTGGATGCAGAATGTCACTCACCTCTCTGGTAGAACTGGAAGGTGGAGAGGGTGGCATCGATGCCCACAGCCACAGGCCCCACTTTGGCTACAGCCTTGGTCAGTGCCCGCTCGTCTCCCTCAGGGATCTCCTTGAAACCACGACACTGAGCACCCATGCCAGACGCGTTGTAGGCACACTGCTCGTCCTGTAGACAGAGTGATAGATATGGATTGGTTTATTTATGATTCAGATTCAGATTGTTTAATAGTCACATGTACAGGGTTGCAGGTGTGATTGCAGGGTCCAGTGAAAATCTTAGGCTTCGAGCTCCAACATGCAGGACTAAGTGAAATAAAATAATGAAAATGGTAATAAAAAAACAGCAATAGAAATAGCAGCAGGATAAATAATGTCCATAGGGGGAGTAGCAGGTAAGGTAAGTAAGGTAAGTGAGAGTTGAGGGTGTCTGGGGGATGTCCATGGGGGGGAGTAGCGGGGGAATGTCGATCGGGGGAGTAGCAGGTAGCTGACTAGTGGTGGCTATTCAGCAGCCTGATGGTCTGAGGGTAGAAACTATAGGCCAGTCTTTCCGTTTTTGCCATGATGCTCCTGTACTGCCCGCGTCTGAGTGATTGAAGTGGGGAGAACAGGGTATGGCTTGGGTGGCTGGGGTCCCTGATGATCTTCTTGGCCTTCCTGCGACACCTGGTGTTGTAGGTATCCTGTAGGGCAGGCAGTGTGCACCCAATGGTGAATTTGGCTGCACGTATCACCCTCTGAAGCGCCTTGCGGTCCGTGGTGCTGGAGTTGCCGTACCAGGCTTTGACGCAGCCCGACAGTACGCTCTCGATGGTGCTTCTGTAGAACACTGTGAGGGCCCTCAGGGACAAACTTCTTCAGCATCCTGAGGTCTTCACTACAGTGTCTGTGTGGTTAGACCATTTCAGCTTCTCTGAGATGACCGTATCCACGGCAGACCGTCTCCACGGCAGCCCCGTTGATGGGGATGGGGGCGTGTCCAGCCTGGTTCCTCCTGAAGTCCACAATCAGCTCCTTTGTTTTGCTAACATTGAGGGAGAGGTTGTTTACCTGGCACCATGCCGGCAGAGTGCCTACCTCCTCCCTGTAGGCTGTCTCGTCATTGTTGGTGATCAGGCCTACTGACTTGCCACTATAGCTGGTCTTGATGCTATGTTGATGCTACTGTACATTGCTAGCAAATTACAAATTACCTTCATAGCACATCGGTGGTGGTGTGTTCTATATATCATAGGAAAATATGGACAACTACAGAAGTGGTAAAGAAAGAATTGCCTGTGTGGTATGTTTCTTACATGCAAGCAAAGTACTAAACAATATGGAAGTGAGCAAAGTATTTGTGTTGTTTGTAGTTAGGCCATTGGAGAATACATAAGACCATGGACGTCACCACTTCCCGGAATTGGCCACAGAAATACATTTTAGCACTGTTTGGTTAACAGCATGTGATTATTAGCTTGTTTTGGTTAAAGAGCATGTGATGTGACAGCTCAATCAGAAACTGCAAATGTCATCCAGCACATTCCAACTCACTTGATGTATAGTAAGAAAATGCTGACTGAAAATGTAATTTCAACAAACTAAAACGGCTGTTTGGCAAACAAACTAAAACGACAGTCACATTCTGTTTCAATGTTAGCCAAACCATGCCCCTACCTGGCCAAGGTATGGGTAAGCCTCGTCTGTGTCGATGCCTCCGTTTTCTTCAACGTATTCGAAGGCTTTGGTCATGTAGCCTCCACCACAGCCATTGTTCTCAGTGACACAGTCCACCAGGTTCTGGGGGCTGAGGTCTATCAGTTTGCCTGTGGTCTTTGCCAGCTGGCCCTCCAGGGCCCCAGCAGAGCTGAAGGCCCAGCAGGAGCCACAGGAGAGCTGAGAAAGAGGGGACATAAAACGTTTACATTAGGGTCTGAGCTGCCTTCTCCAATTTGTCCATAAGGAGGTGCACTTTGACAGAGAGTCAAAGGCCCTTGAGCAAATATTGTTTTTTTCATCTGCCCTTAGAACGTCTAGTTATCTTATTCACCACTAGAGGGTAGACATACTGCACTCACACCTCACTATCTATCACATCCCTCCTGAACCTGACGGCTCTTTGTTGATACCACAGACGATTAGTGCTCATGTAAAGTGACCTAATGTTCATTAGATGAATGGTATAAATCTAGGGCTGATCTCCTAGTGTTCCCTGGTAGCAAAGATGTACTCCATATTTCAGTCTGGGTACTTTATGTACCACTTAACTAAATACCATGTTTACATAAATAATAAATAATGCCTTCGTGTCCAATTTAGATCATAATGAGTAATTACCTTTCATAATCAAACACATTCTTTACTTGTCTAAGTCAATTAGACAAACCATGGGTTTTTATTGTCCTAGACAGGTTACGTGACTGTGCTGTAACTGTGATCATTTGCTACCTCAAGAAAACAAAGATGTCTGACTTAACTGACTGAAAGCAAAGAGGAATAGGAAATGAGTTAATTATAACCCAGTGTTTCCCCTAAAAATCTTCAGATGACACTCTGCCTAGATTGTTGCCCTCTACCTACAACCATTATTTTGGCCTCAATTAAGCTTGATTGAACATTTTTGTGCAATACATTTTGGAAATAAGAAATACATCTAGGGGAAACAATGGACTCGAGTAACAGCTCTTTGTTGTTCGCTCCCATCCTCTCACCTGGTTCTTGACTGGGGTCACCATGCCCTTCTTGCGGTAGTCGATGGACCTGGGGAGCTTCTCCACATTGTTGTCAGGGATCCAGGTGTTGCTACGGTCCCTGTTCATGGGCACCTGGAGGCCAGTCAGCTTCTCAACTATCTCCTCTGACGTCTGGGGAGAGGAGTGGGATGAGGATGAGGGAATTATGCATGCATAGCAATAGATTATGAACCATTTACCCACTATAAGTAGGGACAAGTATTTCCATGTTTATAGTCCAGCAGTTATCATTTAGATAGATCAATGGCTTATTAATCCCATTGGAGATCATTAAATAAAAAAACATTGAAAAAACCCTAGAATAATTACATAATTTTAAACCCATCATGCCCTGATACGAGTATGAGTGCTGAAACATGTTAGGTGAGTGCTAGTCTCTGTGAAACTGGAAGTACCGTACATTCTTCTTTTATTTACAGCACATCTCAACATAGAAGTGAAACTGACACTCAGATGAACTGATCTCTGGGTACTCCGATGGATAATAAATGGACAAAGCATTAATGAGTGGCATAGAAGCCAAGCAGTAAAAGCCAAGCATCTATATATCAGGTTGCTTTTCCCTCCCAATTTAATCTACAGCCCGTTCAAGGAGTTCAAGTCTCATGCTAACACAGTCATCACTCATGACCCAACCTGACATACATGTCACAGCTAGGGGTAGATTTAATGGTCACTAACCTAACAGCCTCCCTTTTAATCAGTAGGCCATTGCATGAGTAAAAACACAGATGGCTGTGCTCTGCATCAGCTAAAAGCCACTACTCTGTCCTGTGCTTGATCTTGTTCGTATTAGAAACACATATCCAAAATGATAAGCTGTGGACAGTAGGGAGACACTGATTAGAAAGGATAACCGAGGACAGCAAACACGAAATAGTTTCCCTTAAACATAACATTCCAGACATATGTTTTCATATGGAGTTACTTAGACCCTTTTTTAGACCCTCCCTTTTTTTGTTGCTTTTTCTCCATGCATGCTAAAAAAAACGCCCATAGAGGATGTGGCTCACTAACTCACCATGTCTCCCAGGTGGTTCATGCCCAGCTCGTACGAGTGAATCCCCAGAGCGGCCTCCTCATTGTGGGCTTCGATCAGACGCATGTTCTTCTCCCAGATGGTTCTACGGATCACCTCCTCACCCTACCATGAAAACATCAACAAAACACGGGTGTCAATCATACAGCTGGCCTTTCATGTGTTATTTGGTTCCGGTGCTCACAGTCTCTACAGTGCAAATGAACTGGTTCATATAGACACAAAATGGTGGAGGTGAAACATAGTTAGGAAAATATTTATTGTCAATTCTTTACAGTGCCTTCGATCACTCATTACTGTGTGTTAGGAATAATGATTCAACGTGTAGTAGGGGAAAACGTGCTGTTCTGTGTTTTCTGCTGACTGCTGAGGAATGTGCTGAGTGCTGACCACAGATTGTGGGACACTCACATCCTGAAGCAGTGAGCTCTTCAATAAGGCCCAAACGTAGTCTTGTAAGGTCAAGTTAGCTATAGCACTGAAATACTTGTGTTCCTAACATCTTGGCTGATAACTCTTTACTGTAAAAACAAGGAAGTTGAAATTCTAAACGGAGGATTAATTCTCATGTTTCCTGCTTTTCTTGCTTGCAGGGTATCATAACAAACCATTTCAAGGAAGAACAACACATACAGAAGTTTTCCACAATAGTTTGTAAACTGTTGACATAAAGATAACAGTGTTCTCATACGTCTAAGTGACATACTATATAATAACTAATTTCATGATGATGAATGGCTTTGATATTCAAAAGTATTTTTCACCATCAAAGCAAATATGAAAAATCATGAGTATTTGTTATCCAAGTTAAGGTAATCTTTCTGTAATTGCCAACCTTAGGAGGAGGAACAGGCAGAATTGAAAGAAAAAGCACTGCATAAATGTGAGGAGCAGTTAGCCAGCCAGCCAGAAAGACAGACAGACACTCACTAGACCATTATACTCTCTCATGTGGGTGGTCTTCCAGGAGTCCCACTGTGCATCCAGTGACATCTTGTCCAGGGGATGGGCTAGGACTGAGCCCAAGAGCAGCAGTACACAACCACACAGCAGCATTCTGGGAAAAGACAAAAGGGCTGCTTTAGTCATTGATGTATAATACATATTACATTGATATAGAAAATGAGATAATGGCATTATGCATTATATTTCTAAATTAAAATATTGTGGCAGCACCTAAGAGTCTAGACAAACACAAAGAAGGTCACTATTTGCAGTATAAATACAAAAATGGGTGTTGACTTTCATACTGACAACGTAACATCAATAAGAGAGCTGAAGTATATTGGGTTTCAGTTAATGTTTTTCTGGTTTCCCGCTCATTATTAAGAGGTATCATAACAAAACACACAGCATCTCTATGTTCTATGGGAAATTCCTCAGATCGTTCATAGGGAACTTCATGTTACTGTATGAACCTTTACTGCACAGTAATAATGCTAGGAGCTTATGGTTTACTCAATGTCTAATATTCCCATTGTTTCATGGTGCTATAAATTAATGTAGGCTATACAGGCTACAAAGGTTTCATAGTTAACTTGAGAATAGTTTCATTTCTTTGATAAATGTTTGGCTACACCATGACCAAAGTGAATTATTTGTTGCAAACAGCATATAGTCCTATACACTTAGTCCTATACGCTCTGCAATGTTTTCCCTATAAAACAAACGAGGCTTACTCTTAGTCAAAACGCAGTGAATACAAATGTTATTTTTAACAACTAATTCGATGTGGTAAATTGTTTTATTGAAACATAAAATCCCAAGTGAAACTGAAAGTTCTAATGAACATAGTTCTACAAAATGACTGCGTGGAAAATAATGTAGGCATTAAGGCAACAACAAACGTTTGCAGATTTAAGACATTGAAAAAATGGGGAGTTCTACCTTGGTCGTAGACTTGGAGAGGTGTCGAATGAATTCCTTTGACCAGTAGTTTCCCTGCGATGAAGTAGGTCACTGTGTGAGAAGTTATATAGTCTGCAGTTTGAGGAAGTGCGACGGGAGCTCGGAGTTTAGGAGGGGGAAAAGTTTCAGCAAAGGGAAAATACATCTGGAATCGCTCATCTAAACCAGATGATGTCAGGTTTCAAATTTCAGGAGCGTCTCTAACTTCAGTCAAAATATTATAAATATATATATATATATATATATATATATATATATATATATATATATGGGTGATTCTTTAACTATGGTACTTTTCTTGTCCCTGGATGAAATAATAAAAACTAAAAAACATTTCTTCTTTTTTGTTTTTGTCATACTTACTCCACCCTAAGGGGAACTTATAAAAAATGTATCATGGCTCAATCATTATTTTTATTATATAATATGAGGCCTTTTATGCATGGTTTTTTACTGTTTTCCCTCTGTCCCTAAGCCAGACTTTGTATCTTCAACCTCGCTTAATTCTAAATTAAATATTTAAATAATGTAGATTTCAAGTACAAATGATAAAATACCATTTATTTCAATTCTACATATTATATATTGTGATACATATTCACATTTTCCTATATTTTTCATAAATAGAACCCTTGTCCCTTGGGGTCACTGTCATTTCCACCACACTGTACAAAATAGAATCCTGGGATCAGTGTTTTAGGTTTGTATATTTAGTAACCATAGCAACAGAAACTCCACAGTGGAACACATGGCTGGATGAAATGGTGTCCTCTACAGGGGGTAATGAAAAGAAGAAAAATCAAGGTAAATATGAGTAAAACTGAGAGTATGTTTATTGGTCGTCATTTCCAAACAGCTCATATTTCACATGGACGTAAAAATAACTGGATACATTTAATTTAATAATGTGTAATTTGTGTATATTTAATGCTAACTCTAAAACTAATATTAGCAGGCTAACATAGCATGAGATTTTAGAGGGAAAGTGGGGAAATGTCATTTCCACCACAGTCATTTCCACCACGGTGTTCATTGTGGTGGTAAAGACAGGTTGTGGTGGAAATGACATTGTTCGTGCTAAACAGCAAATTATTTGGGCTATAATACTGATACTAAATTCAAAAACAGTTTTAACAATATTACAATATTGTTGGTAAATAAGAGAACAATAGATAAGTAGGTTTGACATGATGTCTTGGCTCTTTCTTTAAGATAGCAAGCAATACCACAGCACAGAGGTCAAGATCATACAGAGAAAGAATAACAAGCACACTTACCAGCACATCTCAACCCATCATAGACCTGCATGAGGGACTGATTGGAAGTTGGTGTGTGGTACGGTATGATGGGGATCCTTACCCTGGCATTATACAGGATGTGGACCCTGAGGGTTGTGCTCTGGTGAGAACCATGAGTCATATTGGCAAAAACAAGTTCTTCTGGCCTATGAGAGACGATGTTATTTGGTACCGGCCAGAAGATGGGATCAGGCTGGTCCCAGAGCCTCAACCAGTAACAAAGAGGCATGTGATGGTGGAGCCAACAGTTTGGAAAGAAATATGCTCTGTTCTTGACCATGAAACATAACTGAACCTCTGGCCCATATGCAAGTTTGACAGATACAGTATTTAGCAAATACAATGTCTATTTAGTCAGATTCAACTTGTTATTCCACATGATTACGTTTGACAGTACATGGATTTACGATATAACACACATGACAGTAATGTTTAAGTACAGAGTGTTTGCTCTGGTTCAGCATAGGCATATAAGTTTTCAATTTCAAAATATATTGCCTATTTTATCTGTTATTCAACTGGTTATATTAAGGTTATGTTAAGGTAATGATGACATAAAGGGTTTGCTCTAGTTTGTACTAGTTTGCTCTAGTTCAGCATGTAGAAAACAGTGAAGAAATGATTTGCTGATTTTTAACACAAATTCATGTTTTTTCATTTTTTGGATTGTTTTTAATTTAAAAATATTGGTGATATGTTTTTGTTCACAAATGCTGTTGCTTATTGATTTGCTCTGGTTCACCACATAGAGCAGTAGAAAAATGGTTTTTAATTGGAAGTTGCCTATCTGTCATTTCCGCCACACACTGTCTCTTCCGCCACGCCATGTCATTTCCACCACAACACATATTTTAAAGTAAAACATATAAAAAACATACAATCAAACCAACTATATTCAGTGGTGTTGATAATTGTGCAGTTAGGGCTAAGATTTGTGTATACACTTTGAGAAATATATGATTTTGAGCTATGATAAGAAAATGAAATGTTCCATTGACCTAGTTTTAGGTGTTTTTTAGTGTAAACATTGTAAAATCTTTACAGGTACATTTCTGAAAAAAATAATAAATTACAAATTTGAACAGATATGTGTGTGCTATTTAATCAAATATATTTATAACAGAAGATATTTCATTATTTTCTCTTAAAAATACATGTTTTGTTATGTGATGGAAATGACCGTTTTCTTGGACTGTCAGATATAAATGGCAAAAAATATATATTAGTAAATACAAATCATCACAGCCAACTTCAGGGAAGGTTTCCAGACAGATTGAGAAACCAACTGATACTAAAAAATTGTTTGTAGAAATGTTTTTATTTTCTGAAACTGTCTAGCTCAAAGAGTACCATAGTTGAAGAATTACCCATATATTCATTCTGCACATTGTTATCTCAGTCGCATAGGTTTATAACAAGCGTATATAACGATTATTTGAATTAAAAGATGTAGGCTAGGAGCAGCCTCTTACTGTTTATTTAGAAAATTCAGAAAATAAAGAAAATTAATGATTGTGAATATATATTTCTTATTTCAGAATGAGCCTACGTTGGAAATTATATAATGGTGTAATGCAAAAAAAAATACTAGAGGTACAATGGAGGGTATGAGTGGTGAGTGGGTGGTGTTGTCTGGTGGTGGGGGGGATATGCCATTTGGATAACCTTGGATCTTCACTTTGGATAGTTGAAGAAGTGATTTTGTTCACGGCACTCCATCGGGGTTAGATAATACTTAAGTTCAAGGAGGCATTAAATATTGTTTTTGTAGCAAGCAACATTTTGCTATGGTCCCCTTTGTGACATACACCATTCTGGTTTTTGGAGGGGATTTCCCAAATAATCATCAACCCCTGCCTGAAGCAATGTTGGGGTTGTGGTGTATTAAAAGTTTATTCTTAGGTTAGGGTAAATAGTTTCCTTAACTTTTCGTAATGTTAATCCCGAAAAAGAATGCACTTGTGACATAAACTTAAACAATGGCCAACCCAAACCCAATACATTTTAAGTTTTAGTAAAATTAGGGCCCTTTTATAAACAACACCTCCCCGGGAAAGAATCTTTGTTTGAGTGGTTTCTAATTTTTGCATAAAAAAGGAAACTGTTTATTGTTTACCAAATGTAGTTATTTTGATACCCTTTTTTTATAAAAACCCAATTAACAGAATTAATAGTTCAAAGTAAAGTTTGATTGTAAAAGGGCAACTGGGGTCCAAGTTGTGAGTTTGGGGAGAAAAACAGTTAATAGAATAAAAAGACACCTGCACGCAAGAACCTTTTGCAATGTCTGACCGGAAGACCCATAGCATTGCCAAGGCCACAAAATAACTTAACTTAAGACTTTCAGCTCGTTGATTGGGCACAAAATCAATAATAGATCAGGAGGTCTCCTTTTGATCAACCAGCAGTCCCCCCGCGCTAAATTTCCCATTGATGGTTGTGTTGTCTGCAGGTTGTTTGTGTTTTGGAGGGGGGGCTTGGATTTTACTAGTTGATCTTTGTATATTTGCAGTTGTAATTAAAACGTAATCCAATGATGTTGCTTAAAGACAAATTCAGTGGATCAGCCTTTTACGGATTGTTAAGCCCAAAAATATTGGGGATAGTTAGTATTAAGAATGCTTCAAAAGATGATTCCAACAAAAATTACAAAGAGTTTTAATTGGAATATCAAATAGTATTTCCAACATGTTATCCGCAGCTTGTCAAAAACCCTAAACCTTTTTAAAAAATAAAAAACATAATAAAACCACTTATAGTGGGAATTAAAATTTGATAGGAAGTTTTTATACATTTGAAAATCTATTTGAGCTTGATAGAAAAAAATTTCCGACCTAGTTTTGGGTTTTTTTAGTTGTAAATTGTAAAATTTTACAGGTATTTAAAAAGATTAAACATTGAACATGTAAGGGTGCTGAAATTCCAATATTTATTAAAAAATATTATTATCCTTCTTAAAATATGTTTTGTTCCTTATAGAATACCGTTTCTTCGCCTTGGGAAGAAACATCAATGTGGCAAAGGGGTGGTCCATCATTATTCACCAATGGCATTCCCCAAAGCCGAAACCTGACTACAAAATTATTTTTTTGGAAAATTGACTTATTCATGACAACTAAGCTGACACTACAATAAGTTAATCTACCAATATTATAAGACAATCATTGTTTTCAGTCGATGGGTTATAAAAGCGTTGATAAGATATTGAAATTAAAAGATGTAGTGGGGTCTAGTTATTTAGAAAATTAGAAAATAAGAATCACTTGGTGGATAAATTGCATTCAAATGGCCAGTTGGAATAAATGGTTATCAAGAAAAAAATATAGAGGACCAATGGGGTATGGTGGATGTGTGTTCTTTGGGGTATGCCTGACTAACCTGGTCTTCACTTTGGATTGAAGCAAGTTTTTTAGGAAGCAAATCATTCGCTTAACTAAAATAGTAAAGCCCCCTTTACTAGAAATAGCCGACACATAGCCTGTTCCAACCTAAAATCTTTTGGCAAACTGGTTGGTTGCACCAGATTAAATTGTTTTACAGGACGAATTGGGAATACTTTCAGCCCCTTAGGGAAGCCATTCCAGAAGCACTGCATTTGGGTTATGATGGACTGAAAAAGGGATGATTAAATATTGTGATTCAGTGCGTGACTTACATCTAGTCTGCCCTAAAAAAAATGTTTATGTAAATGAAAAACCCCTGCATATGGGGAATAGTTACCTGTCTACAGTAAAAGAGGGCCCTATTCAACATAAGATCTTCCTTCCAATAATTGTTGAGTGGATTTCCTAATTTCTGATCGCAAGACAGTTTCCTAGGCCGTATGGGCCGTTACTTTTTTCATCATTACTAACGACAAACACTGATACGGGAAAACAAGT